CCTACCATCCATCTCGATGTGCTAACTGAAGTACACTTAAATTGCCCCAGCCGGACAGAATTAAGAACTACCTAATACTAGACTAGTGAACTACTGGTCGTGCCTGACCTTTTCGAACCTTACCATATTAAACACATATACCTTACCCCCCCCCCCCCCCCTCTTTCCATCCCATCATCCCCTCTCGTAAAACCCCTCATAGTCCGAAGGACACGATCAGCATATTCCGGCAACCAGCCAGTGATGAATTTCACATTCATTTTTCGTAGACGACAAACAGTGGTAGTAGCATAACAATGGGTATGTCAAACAATAATAAAACTAATAAGCAGAGAAAACTTGTCGTTAATATGGTGGAAAGTACTCGTTAAGAAATCACCATTTCCCGTTCTGTGGTGCCAGCCCTGAAGCTATTTCGTCTCAAGATGGTTGATTCTGTACCTACAGTCCCGTGTTGGCGCAGGAGAAGGGAGTGCCGACAGTGCCTTCTCGGTAGCTGATAATGACACTCTCAATGGATGCCTAGTGGGATTTCGTTAGTTTCGGGTTGCGGCTAGTTATGTCCGGAGAAAGGAGGAGAACTCACATAAGTTCCTGGTCCGAGGAAAAAGAACCCAGCGAGAATGAGAGTAACATTGAGAATCGCGCCGAGCCAGCCGCGGATGCCACGGTTCTTGTAGAAATTGGGTCCATAGTCCTCCCGACGCATGCGCAGGTAGGCCGTGCCCCAGAAGATGAAGCCGAAAAATGAATCAAAGAGGGAGCTCATGATCGACTCCAGGTCGGAAAAGAAGGGAATCACCTCGGCGATGATGAAGGCGAGGATCCAAAGGATGGTGAGGATACCGGTCCAGGCGGCCCATCCGAGCACGGTGTGGTTACCCTTGTGGCGGGTGCCATCGAACAAGCGGAAGAAGATGAAACGCGCCGACACGGAGGCATACAGCACGCCGAGGAAAACCAACGTCGGGATCATGAACGAGAAGGACACCTTCTTGTATACCTCGTTACCCAGAGAACCGAATGCCGGCGACGTGATGTACTGGTTACCGGTGTAGGCGTACACGATAGAGCCGACCAAGCTGAACACGATAATCTCGGCAATGGTGACGGCGGTGACAGACTTCCAGAAATCCTTGGGCTCTTTCATCTCGGCGATAAAGCTTGGCAGGGTGATCTGTCCAATGAAGGTGTAACTGATATTGAGGAAAGCGCTCATTCCTGATACGAAGGTCGTTCCAGGCACAGGGATCGCTTTCACAATGGGATCTCCCATCTCCGGGGTATAGCCCGCGGGATGGTCCTCAATGGCGGAGAAAATGAGGGCTAGCATGACGGAAATGAATGTGGTAAATGCCGACAGGGTCGCCACCTTGGATAGAGCGCTGAAGGTGCGTGGAAGGGAGCAGATCAGCGAGATGATCGCCGTGACAAGTGAGAAGATAATGGTGCAGGCTCCATGGCCACTGATAGTGTTGAGATACTCGGCGCCGACCAAACAATGCAAGCCCTAATCCATGTCAGCGCTGTAGATTACTTGGCAAACCCAAGGAAAGTACCTGAATAAAGGTATTGTTCAGCAGGAACATGATTGCAGTCAGATACCACACAATCTTGGAGTCCCAAAATATCATTTGGCCGATGTCGCACACGTCACGGACATGTGGGTGTCGCAGACAAAACTTCCTACACGATATGAGCGGGGACCTCAACGAGCGATGCGACAACGGGAAACACATACCAAATAACCAGCGATGTATAAAGCACGATCATGGCGATGACGACTGTGAGGATCAACCCCGGGACCAAGCCGAGAACGGAATAGGACCATGGAAACGACATGATAGCCAGACAGATATACTCGGAGAACAGGAGGGCGGCCGTCTAGTTAACACAGGTCTGTAATCAGCCATTGCAACTATGCGCGCATCGCGCGCGTACACCGCTCCGAGGTGGATTGTAGTACATACCTTCTGCCAACTACAGGTACGGTATTTAATGGAATTCTCCGATTCCATTTCAATCTGGCGACCGATTTCCCCATCCGTGTCTGAGCCAGAGCCCACCTGCTGTTTCTGGTTTTCCAAATCCATCTGCTTCAACTTATCTGCTGCACTGGCATTATCGGAGACAGACGACCGGCGGGAAACGACGGGCTTGAAAGTGTTGGACTCCGCCATTTTAACGAGCGGACAAGCCGCAGGTGATAGGAAGCGATGAAGCTAAAGGAAGAAGAGACACTGAAGGCCTTCGGATGCATGTACTGCGCCTTTAGATGCGACAAAATAGGACGACTTCACAACACTGGGGTAAAATTGTTAAGGATAGCTCTGGGATAATCAGAGGTGGCCGATAGTGATCAGGAACTGCCTTCGCGAAGACAGGTAGCGAGTGAAGGAGAATTAACGAGGCGAGTAACGGAAGGTGAGAGAAGAGCGAGAAGAAGAACGGAGGAAGGATCTAACATCTTTTTAGTTGTCAGGTTCAGGCTAGAAAAGAATAACACTGGTCAAGGCACGTGCGGGCAGCCTAATACTTACTGGAGATAACCGTGAGGCAGATCGACACTACAAGACCAGGGGGGGCGATATGCGCGACAAAGAATCCCAAGATCACCCAAGGTAAAAATCTAGATGAAAAAGTGAGAAATGACGTGCTAAGCTTGTGAACACGAGCAGATTGAAAGAACTGAGCGAAAAAGTACTGCTGAGGCAAGAAAAAGAAAAAAAAAAAATAAAAATGAAAATGAATTCAAGCAAAAGAGATTTAATCTGGATGCGCTTATTTCCTTAACCTGGCCTGCCCTGGAAAGCTGGGTTCTCCCAAAGCGCGCGCCGGATGGGTTTTAGTTGCCTAGCACCGGTGGTTTGGCTTCTCACCCCAAGACTATCTAGGCAAAATGCAAACCCGCAGGGAAAGGCGATTTAATTTACTAAGTAATTAACGATTTAAACTGGGGAACGAATAGCAAAAGGAGCAGCAGTCGCTGATTGCGAGTCGGGGGCTCGGAGATCCAATGACCGGCGTGCAATGCAGCCGGCCAGTCCGACTGTCCGGAATGGCCGATGACAACATCTACTTTGTATGACGTCCTCCAGCGGAATTCACCACCGGTGCATCTTTTGCTGGTAGGTTACTGGGACGAACCTAAGCAGTCTTAGATTTTGGTCCAGGGACTAATACTAGAAGACTGATGTATCCCCCTTCCAAGTACTATAGTGTATGATTCCTGTCCATCTATCCTGACCATCATTACCCTCTCTACTACTATCTTCTACGTAGAGGACTTGCTCTCTCCACCTCCGTTAAAGCTCGACTCGGCTAAGAACAGCAATGCCGCGTTCAGACCCCACCCCCATCAGTCCCCACCGCCCATTGGTCCGTTCACGGTACAACCTTTGCCAGTCTCCCCGGCCAATCAGCTTCTTGTCCAATGTCCGCGGCGGAACCGCCCGATCCAGAACTGCCCCGCATCCGTCTAACCTAAGCGGCTGAGCTTTTTTTTTTCTCTACTCTTTTTGACAGAAACCCCTCTTGCAGAGAATTTCCGGTCCAAAAGGAAGGAAGGAAGGAGGATGGAATGGAACCATTCGTTACGACCTTATCCCGAGCCATTCATTCCACTCTTCTGGATTAGGTTACACTAAGCAAACGATGTCGTGTGGCATGACCAGAGCTACGCCTCTCTCTCATGCATAGATATTAAATACCAGGATAAACCCAGTCATACGACGACAACGCATGCTTCGATGGTTTCCATGACCCTTGTTCGAAATCTTCTGGGGCGTGGATTATTCGCCTTATCGTATCGTATCGAGATCTCTTACTGGTTTCCCTTGTGCATGGATCCATGCATTCCTTCGATGGCAAAATGAAAAAAAGAAAAAAAAAAAAAAAAAAAAACTAAGCTGAAAAGGTTTGGTTGGGGAGGAATGGAAAAAATTCGAACAGATGAAAGCCGCCACTGTTAGTAAACTGACACTGCTGATATTTGCTTCTTTAAGCCTTGTCGAGCACGCTATGCGCTAATAGATGGCGTGATAAGCCACTTCCCCACGTGCCTGGGGAATAACTGGTTGGATTACTTACTTAGTTGGGTAAGGAGCAGTAGTTAGTTACTAGGAACTAACCATGTGCCTTATGCGCGTATGTATGCTCAGCACTAGTACTGCCGGGAGATCTCTCACCAACACCTTGTTTCTTTTAAAAAAAGAGTTTTCTTTTTTTCCCTTGATATCTTAGGTAGCTTGTCTACTATTTAGCGTCGGTGTTTGCGAATTCGATAATATCCTATGTCCGGTGTCACTGATAAGTAGAGTCGCTGGGTATTTGTTAGTGAGCAGCCTGCTTCTCCATTATCGTCACCAGGACAGGAGACATGGCTATAGAATGACCCGGTTCAAGTCCAATCAACACAACAGGGCAACTCTGCCGATAAAATCTCTTCTCGAGGCATGTACGCCTTACGCCAGGCGCTAAGGCATGCACTAGTTTACGCCGCAGTCCGTGTCGTGTCTGTCCCACGATCTGAACTAGTCCTCCTATCTATCTAGTATGACGGCTGGCTTGGTCTTAGTGGCGCCGCTTTTACGCCACTTCTGACAGCGGAAACGATTTGATGGAAGCTTATCGGCAGCTAGCTATGAGTTATAGCTAGCTGAACGAGTATGTAGTTCGGTATGGGATGGTGAGTGTTTATTGTGCGATTCGATGGCATTTTCAGTACGGATGTATACTCTCTGTCGTGTTTTGCATGGTGCAAGGTTCGGAAACTAGATCCGGTCACTGTTGCTGTGTCGAATATTGCTTGCGCAAGGGATAGAATACCTGGAGAAGGAAGGAATGGAAGCACTCAAATCAGGGCGGGCCGGGCCATACATACTTAGACTACTACTCTCTTGCTACGTATGAG